TATCTAGGTATCATTTAGGCATTTATACTAGCATCACTTAGGTGTTACTTAAGTGTCACTATAAATAAATTGGCACAGTAAGTAGTACAGCTTTTAGCACAGTAATTGTTATATTACATTAGCTGTCACTTGAGTTTTCTTTGTATTGTACATAATAACTTTAGATAAAACTTATATCGTTATATAGCCAAGGTTCTTATCTAGAAAGTTACTTAGAACTATTTTTCAATCTGAATGCTTCTTGAGGGACTTCACTTAGAGGTAAATGTTTTCTACGAATTTTTATACAATAAAATTTCTATACTAAAATAATACAAATATAAGAAATAATACTAAAATAATTAGTTATATATAGAAATTAATAAAATTGATAGACACGTCCTTATATAAGATTCCTATAAGGACGTGTCTTTGGGGACACTTTTTTCGTACCACAAAAAATGGACACAGGACACCTCGCGAACCAGGTCAACAACCTCAAGTACTAGTTGCGCCGCGGGCTCGCGAGGATAATTTTATCCTAAAATATAACCGTCAGCCTAAAATGTAACCGTCAGCCTAAAATGTATCCAAAATGGTGTCCCTGAAAATTTAAATAGTTTCAGGGACACTAGTAATCGTTCAGGGACACTTTTTGATACTCGGAATAATTCGGAACTTTTAATTAATATTTTATTTTGTGATACTATATTTTTGATATTCGGAAAAAATAAGAACAAAAAAAACAACTTTAAAGAAAATTTTAAAAAAAATCGTAACAATGAAAATCGATGATTACTTGAAATTTTATTAGAAAAAAATACAGAGTGGTTTTATGAAACTAGCATTATTTTTTCGAGTTTGACATTTTTTGTTAGTACGCAGTGATCGATTATCATAGTAAAATCTCATGTAAAACCCGGATTTTGACGTTTCGCGAAGAATTTAAAAAGGATCTACAAAGAAAAGTTAAAATTGCACTTCATCAAAATTCGGCATTTTTTCGTGAATTTTACTTGGATTGACTTGAAATTTTACACGTGAACTCTTCAACATCATCTCTATCAACTTCACTAAGACCACTTTCCATGTTTACTTGTACCAAAGTATCAAAATTAACGATTTTCTTTTTTTTTATTAATGAAAATAAAAATTACAATCGTTTTGCAAATGAAAAAAATTCATAACTCGATGAATACTTGTCTGTTCGACTCCAAACTTTACCAGAAAAATTTTATGACCTTACTCTATCAACATGTGAAATTTGAACACGAGTTAATATATGTATTCTTGAAATTTGAGGGTGAAGGGTGAATTTTTCATCAAGAACGTTAAAGAAAAAAAAATACACAAACGTAAAACAATCATCTCTCCATCAATTTCAACTCAATAAAGCTAAAAATTGAGATACTAATAGTTGAATACCTAGCGAACAACTTTACCTAGAATCATTTTTGTTGTTTCATTCGAAGAAACATGAGAATTCTTTGTTCAAACTTTCTCTACGTCCAAAAAAAAAATTCGTATATACGTTTTCGAGAGAAGAATCATCATAACTTCATGAGAAAAAATCCGTTTGAGCTAAAAACCTAGATTCTAATGTAAAATGATCAGGGCTTCAACTTTAATTAATACCACTTTCTATGTTAACTAACAAGAATTACCTTCCGGAATCGATTTTCTGTCATGTATTTTTTTTAAAAAAACAAAAATTGTAAATCGTTTTGTGATACAAAATTAAAATCGGAATACAATGTAAATTTGTTGGATGTTTATGTATTTTCTACGTTACACATATGATCAGACCATCAAAGTTTCGCGAAAATATATAAATTTCATAAAAAAAAATCAATAATTATGATTTACAAATTTACTAATTAAAAACAACTATAAATAGAAGCCAAATTCGGTCTTAAAATTATTTCTCATCAAATCTCAGAATTTGATCACGAATACAGAGTTTTACAAACTAGTTATTCCCTAATACAGTGCTCTTCGAGCCAGATATTAAATAAAAAGGTAAGGAGATTATTGATTTTTCTTTGTATTTTTTTATTAAATAATATTAAATTATATATTCACAGATGTTTCGAGGTCAATATTATTATATTGTTTATTATAATTGTGAATTAGAACAAGACTTTATTTTAAATCATCTACAAGAAATATTCGATAAAAAAAGAAAAAAAATTGAGGAATATATCGTGATTACTATCAATAATAATATTCATGTTCACGTTAAACTTGATAAGATTTATCGTGTTTTGAATATAAAATTTTTTGATATTGATAAATATCATCCTGTATTTAATATTTCAAAAGCAAAAAATTATATTTTATATTATATCAAATCATGTAAATATTTAACAAATATCAATCTTAATAAAAATATTTCTACTTAGTACATTTTGTACCGAGTAGAATTTTATTCGCGTAAATTTAGTTTTATTAATTACAAATGACTAAACTTAGATCTAAAAAACAAAAAACAAAAAAAGAAAAAGGATTTGATATACACTCATCTCAATTTTTTTTAACATATTCAAAATGTGAATTAACCAAAGAACAATTACTAGAATATCTTACAAGAATTATCAACAAGAAAACTGAGGAAAAAAAATATTATATCAGTAACTATATTATTGCTACAGAACCTCATAAAGATGAAACACCTCATCTACATACCTATCTTAAGTTGGATAAAAAAATACGTATAAGAAAAGAAACCTTTTTTGATATTAAAATAGAAGATAAAATTTATCATCCAAATATTCAAGGAGTTCGTTCAGCAAAACAAGTAGAAGCTTATATTTTAAAAGATGGAAATTATATCTCTAAATACAAAATAGATAAATTATCAATTGCCCAAACAGTTATTGAACGAGAAATTAAAGAAGGTAGATATGTAACAAATTATAAAATTGCAAATGATTATCCAAAAACTTATGTTCTGTATGGTAAAAAATTATTGGATTGGAAGACAAAACTTGAGGAACAAGAATATAAAAAATATGGAAAACCATTTGTAGAGTTACATTATGGAAATAAGTATTGTGGAAAATCAACTTATCAAGAACAATTTGATGATAAAATAGCTTACAGATTAGATGGGTCAAAATGGTTTGATGGATATGATGGACAAGAAATTCTTGTTATAGATGATATGAACGGATCACAACTATTTTATACAGTTTTATTGAGAATCTTATCTGGTCAACAACGAAGGTTAGAAGTGAAAGGAAGTCAAGAATTAAATAGAATCAAACACGTAATTATTACAAGTAATTTTCATTTTACTGAGTGGTATAATAATATATCATATAATCAAAATCAGTTAGATTGGAGAATAGATGCAATTTGGCATTATAAAAAGGATACAGAAAATGGGTTTTCAAAGAGAATATGTATAAGAAATCCTTATTTAAAACAATTGCACCGTAAATATCTTAAAAAATTCAGATATCATGAAAAGTTTAGAGAAAATTGGGATTATTCAGAAGATAAATTAGGTGTAACAAAAAGAATTTTCCATGAAAATTATGTTTCACTTCCATTTGATATTAATTTGCAAGGCGGTGAATTAGATGATAATGATCTACCTACAGAAGAAATTGCTTTACAATTAGCTTTAGAACAAGAACAAGAAAACCAAAACCAAGATCAAGAAAAACAGAACCAAAACCAAAACCAAGAAAAGAGAAAAAGAGAATCAGATTCGTCTTCAGAATCTGATAATCAATCAGAAAAAAATGAATCTGATTCATCTATAGAATTTAATGAGTCTGATAATCAATTAGAAGAAAATAATGAGTCTGATTATGAACAAGATTTAAGTGCAATCGATTCTGATGATTCTGAAGCAACTAAAGAACTTAAACGAAAAAATATTAGGAAAGGCAAACAAAAAATAGAATAGTATTTAATTTTTATTATTATATTTTATTATTATTATTATTTTTATTACTATTATTTATCATATGATATTAATTATATTATATTTTATAAATAAATATTTTTTAAATATATATTATTTTTATTTGTGATGTTTCAAAAAAATTTTTTAAAAAAATTTCTGTAAATCATTTTACAAATTTTTTTGAAAACATCACAGATTTAACAATCACAGTATCATATGATATTGTGATGATTCTAAATAAAGACTTTCTTTGTTACAAATTTGTATTGTTTGTCATTGTTTGTCTGCATACAAAATCAAGTTTGTTTACGTGTGTGATTTTTATAAATAACAAAAAAATAGATGATCTTTTTTTTTTCGCAAACGAAAAAATCATTATCGAAGGTTATTATTTTTTTCTTTACATTAAACTTTTTTTAAACAAAAACATGATTAGAAACAATTCTAGATTAGTCTAAAGCACCAAACCCTAACTATTTCTGATAACATGTTCTCAAGTTTCTTATTCTTCTCAACCTCTGTCATCAACTTAGTTCTCAATCAGTTTTAACTGGTTTTTTTATTTGCTGGCTTCTTTCTTCGCTTTAGACTTATGATTTTTAATTTGTTTTTTTAATAATCTATTGTTTAAAATTCTTGCATTACTAACTAATTTATTTATTTATTATTATTATAAGCTAATAGAAAAAAAATGTCTAATATTATCGATGATATTGACTCCATAATCGAACAGAATAATAATTTGCAAAGCTCTTTGATTCAAATTCGTAAGAAAATTAATGAAACAAAAGCTAAAGTCAAACCCAAAAATTTAAATGAAATCATCGAGAAGACTAAGCCAAATAATATGAAGGATCAAAATGAAATTGATATCGAAAGATTAAATTTGGTAATAAAAGGGTGGAAATCAAATCTTTCACTTTATGAAAATGTCAAAAATCTCCATAATGAGTTAGAAGAATATCGAGATAAATATTATAAACTAAATACTAAGTACAACAGTCTTATTCATGATGAATAAATTTTATTTGTATTTTCTTTTATTTGTTATTATTTTTATAATAAATTTATAAGTAAATAAATAAATATAATTTAATAAATATTATTATATTTCAATAATCTTATCCATATCTCTATCGAGTACTTGTCTAGCAATAATATTCGATTTCATTTTTTTATTGATACTTTTTAATTTTGAATTAATATCTTCAAGCTCTTTTATCTTTTGATTTTTGATATGAATTTCTTCAGTTAACTTAGCGATTGATGCTTCTGGATTTGATGGTTTGTATTTTATACAGATTTTATTCCTTTCTGTACAATGTTTACATATATCAGATCCTTTTATCTGTATGCATTTCCGTCTATGTCTTCTACAAATCTCACACGCAAACATTATATCCTGATAAATTTAAGATTTGTAAGAAAAATTACTGATTTATTTATAATAAATACGTAAAATCCTGTAATTTATATTTTTTTATTTATTAAATAAAGATTTGATACACTTTTAGCTTATTACAATATAATTTTTAAACCAATCTATTTAAAAAGAATGGAAGATTTAAAAGAACAGATTAAAAATTTAAAGATAAAAAATATAGAATTAATCCAAAATCAGCATGAAAACCTTCAAAGAAATCTACAACTATTAAGTGACAAAGAAGAAATATTAAAAGAAAATACTAATATTAAACAGAGAATAGATGAACTTGAAACACAAATCGAAGAATTAATTAATCGAAATAATGATTTAGAAACAAAAAATAAAGATGAAAAACAAAAAGTTATTAATTTGTCTATTATGAATTCTGAGCTTTTAGAAAGATTACAATATCACGAGAAAGCAAATTTTTCAGAATTCTCTAAAAATGTAAATGACTACTTTTCTACATTTACTTTTGGAGTTTTAACATATTTTATCAATGATTATTATTTAAACATATTAAAAAATATGTGGGAATATCGCAATTTTCTATATATCAACAAACTTTTTAAAGTAGTCAATTTAATTTTTATTCTTTGGAAAAAATATATGCTTGCTATATCTTTCGTAGCTTGGTACTTATTTACTACAAAAACATTTTGTAATCTTGAGATTATCTTTATAATTTTTATCATTAACATTTCAGTAATTTCTTATATCAATTATAATCTCGACACTTATTTTGTTATTTTACCTTTTAATAAATCATGTGATATTTTTTAACTAGTAAATAAAAAAAATATATATATTATTTTTAATAAATTTTTTTTCACGGTTTCAATGAACTCTACAAAAAAACTCCGAGAATTTTTCATGCTTAGAAAAAAATTGAATTAGTTTCAAAGTACTTAGTTTTTTACCGCAAAATATATTTGAAATACTAGGTTATGATTAGTCAATCTTCAAAGAACTCAGTTTTTTACTGCAATTCAAACTCGTATGCTGAGATCTGATTGGTCAGAATTGAAAGTACTTGGTTTTTTACCGCGAAAGATATTTCAAATACCAAATTATGATTGGCTAGATTTTTCAAAATAAATTAACTATTATGACTATCATTTTATAATTTTGAACGTTCTAATTGAATTTATGACTAAGTCATTTTCTAATTTTAAACGTTTTATTTGTATTTATGATCAAATCATATGACTGATCATGAACATCCTCTTGAGGATAATCCTCAAATAGTTAGATCATGTAAACAGATTATTGATCACGAATATCCTCTTGAGGATAATCCTCAAATAGTTAGATCATGTAAACAGATCATTGGTCATGAATATCCTCTTGAGGACAGATAGATTTTACATTCTGAGAACTTCAGAATCTAGATCGAACATATGATGACACAAAAATATTGATAACGAGGAACCAATAATATTATTTAAAATTAATAATCGAATAAATTTCGTTCATAGAGAAAACATTTTTTTGTTTTTTCAAGTTTTAAACTTGTTTTTTTATTTCTTAAAGCTTATAAAAATACCTAATTTGTATATGAAATATGTAACTTTAATGTCTGTACAAGTACAATTTCAAAACGAGACAAGAGAAACAATTTTTAACCACCCACAAATCATCTCGAACGAACAACGAAGAAACAAAAGAAAAAACTCTCTTGATTCAACAGAAAAAATTAACAAGAAGAAAAAGATGACTTCTAATAATTACAAAAGATTTGAAGAATTAAATAGTGAATACGAGAAAATCTTTAAAGATTTAAAGAATCAAATCACAAATTTGAGGAACGAAAATGAAGAACTTAGTAGAGATTATATTACGATAATCAAGAATCTTAAAGAAGAGAAAGAAGATATTTTACGTGAGCTCTTAGAAGTAAAAGAAGAAAAACATAACCTCGAAGAAAAATATAATGAAATATCTGAGATGTTATTATTCTTAAGTGATTGGTTTGGACAAGCGTTTAATAATGCTTGTAATCTTTTTTATAGTTATTTTCATAAAAATAATATAAACGATAATATTTATATTAATCCTAAAGTTCCTTTACCAACTATTTTTTCTCAAGCAAATAATGATAGTGATAGCAATTATACTGATAGAAATTCTACTCCAGATATTTACGATGAATATGAATTTGATTCTTAATTTTTTATTTTATGTCTTATCTGTATATTCTTATTTTATATATTCTTAATAAAGTTATCTTTATAAATCTTCAAAATAAGGAAGATTTTCTAATGCATCTTGACGTTTCTCAGTATCTGGCATAAAATGTAAAATCATGTTTCTGAAAAATTTTGCGTATCGTTTGTTCCTTTCAACTCTTGTTTCATTTGAAGTTCCTTTATTTTGATCGAGATAATTCAAGATAAATCTCACTTCTTCTGTGTTGAATCTTTTCTTAACAATTATGGATAGTCTTGTTAAGAGATGTGCTAACAAATTATCATTTGTTTCTTTTAATTGTTCAATTTCTTGTTGTTCAGCCATCTTTAATAAAGTATATAATAAGTTATTTGTGGTATTTATGTTTATACGATAAAAAATATTTACTTGCTAACATGTGATCAATTTTTTCTACGATGTTCGATATGATGTCTTATTATGTATCATCATTTAGACAATTAAAAATCAAAATTCTTTGTTTCAATTTTAGATTATACAATATAAATTAATTTGCAACTGCGTCAAATGTCATTGTTAACGAATATAGATTTTTATTTGAAAAAAAGTATATACAGATATAAAAATAAAAAATAAAAACTATATCTCTTTAGAATCCCAATACAAATTTTTATCTATAACCCTTCCATTTCTTGCGAAGGGACTTACAATAATATTTTTAAAATTGTTATTTCTAACAATTTTAAAATTGCCATTTAATTTCCAATCTATATTTAAATCACCTACTCTTCTTACTTTTACAGGTATTTTATCAATATTTAGTCCTCTTTTTATCGCTTGTTGAAAGCAATATAATCTTCGATTATCTGAAGAGTAGAAGATATCCTCAATAATACATACTTGTATCAAAGGAAAATCTTCTATTTTTACTTTACTATTAATAATATCTTCAATAGTATTTTCTATATCATTTCCATTTTGAAAGATATTATTAATAGTAGATTGAGAGAAAAAAATATCGAAAGGATTTAATTCTGTAATATAATCTCTTTCTGCAAGTTTTAATTTTACTAGCATAAATTTTGCTCTATATAACAAAGCAAAACTAAATAACCAAACTAAAACAACAGAGAAGAGTGAAGATACAAGAATTAATATTAATAATATTAATTCTAATAAATATTTTTCATTATTTTCTCTAGTTTCTTTCTGAACTAGAGTAGATTCAGAAACTTTAAGAGATTGAATCTCTCCTTCGTTAACTGAATGAGAAGAAAATTCTTTTTGTTCAGAGAACGAGGAAGTGTAATCAATTTCTTCAATATTATCCCAGGATTTTTCTTCAATTTGTTCTTCAAACTCCCATGGAGTATCATTCTGTTGATAATTACTCCAATTATCCTCTTCAATGACATCTTGTATTTGTTGTTTCTTGTTAAATTTAGAGATAAATTTTTTTACGAAAGACATATTATAAAGATTTTTTTATAAAGTTGTAAAATTGGATAATAAAAAATTTTAACGATATGTAAAATTAAAGATTGTCTTGCGAATTTTCTTGATTTTTATTTCTTCTTGTTAATAAAACTATAACAAGTTTAAACTTGTTACCAAAATAATTTTAATTGGTTCAAAAAAATTTCTAATCGTTAAAAATATTAAACACATGATTATAAGATAATCATAAAATAATTTAACTAATTTTAGTAATTCATAGATATGTATGATAAATCATATGCATCTGATGATCAATTTTGTGGCTAAACTCTTTGATTGATATACATGCATAATGCATAAAATTTTTCTACTATATACTCAATAATTTTCTGATTTTTATGATTTCTCACCTCTTTCTGCTTTGATGATTACACATTTTCTTGTTAACGTACATGATATGTAATTCTAAAGTTTAAACCAGACTGCAGAAATTCTCAGGAGAGAAGCCGACTTTTTGTTAGTGATGAACATAACATCCTGAGTATAAACTATTCTGAAGTATACCTTTAGTAATATCATCGTGAATGAGAACATAGTATAGAAGCAGAATTGGTCAAAAAAAAAAATACTTTTGCTTAAGATAGTCTTATTACAACTTGGCTATGTTTGTTTTCTCACAAGTAAACGAAAGTTGTAGTGTTTAAGTTTGAAAGTCTGACTTTCAAATGTAGACAGTAGTTTTTTTGGAAGATGAAATGACTTGTCAAAGTAATCTTCCCTCATTATTTTCTTGTTGCTAGAAATACAAGAAAAGAATCTCAAATAAGACAACTAATTCGTTAGTTGATCCCCAAGGACTGAGAGGGAATTACCTGTTAATTTACCTACCAATGGGTTATTACTCGTTCTTGAGTTGGTTGGTATTGCTCAAGTTCTGAATCCAAATATCAAACAAATTCTGTAAAAAAACTTTATAGGTATTATTTTGCATAGAAGTTAATTCTGAATCTCTTTAGAGTGAGGATTAACTTCGTACAGCTTAGGAGCTACGAAAATATATCTCCCTCATAGAAAGTTTTATTAAATATTTTTTTCATGTTCATGAGAAACACCTTGATGTGGTGAACATGCTTAAGTAATTACTTTATTGTAATGAAAACTAAGTTTCTCAATCTTTATTTAATAAAAAATATAAATTAAAATTTTACAAATTTTCCATTTATATTTCCTGTGATTTTATCATGTGCTAATTTAAATTTGATCGCTTCTTCTTTAGATTTAAAATATTTAGTTTTATATTTTTTGTTTTCACAACATTGAAACCTCCATCTTTTATTTCTTTTATCAGATTTTTTATAACAGACTCCATTATATCCTGAAGTATTTGTTTTCTTTAATTTACAATTTAAAAGCATTTTCTCTATAAGTTGTTTCTCTAAGATTAACCTTTCGATTATCTGTTCCTTGTCTATTAATATGATTGATCATTTTCCATTCAGGATGGATTAATCGATGAAATATTAAAGTTGTATATTTGTTATTTTTTTTAATTTTTGTTACTATATAATATGTATTTCTGTTTTTCAGTTTATAAGTAGTCCAAATATGAGAACGAAGTTTAGTATAATTTTTAATATCACAGAGAAATGTGATATCAGATTTCTGAGTTTTAACTTCCAGATAAGCAAGACCTTGAATAGTAACAAGACGTAACTGATTGTAAATTTTGTTTTTGTGAGAACCTGATCCTTGTTTGCCTCCATGAAATTCAGAGATAATTTTAAAGGTTGAATGTATCTTTCTCTAAGGAGAATCTAAAGATTCTCGTTCAAAATTTGTAATAGACATTTTTAATTTTAATTAAAATAAAGAAAATAATATTTATTTATATAGTGATTGAATATATAGGAGTTTTATTTTTTATATAAATACAAATCATTTTTTTCCTTCACGTTAAAAATAAAAGATGGTAAATAAGAGAAGTTCGAGTGGAGTACCAAATATTCTTTATTACAAAAAAAGAAAAAATTGGGTCTTTGAGAAAATGATAAATAGAAAAAAAATAATAAAATATTTTAAAACGAAAGATCAAGCTATCAAATACAAAAATACATTTGAAAAAAGTATATATAAATACAGTATTCCCTTCATCTTAAATTAAATTTCCTTCAAGAAAAATAAACCTTAAAAAACAACATCATTTTATTATCATAATTTTATAATGACTCAAACTTATTATACAGTACATATTGGTAAAGAATCAGGTATCTATATGAATTGGAAGGAATGTCAAGAACAGATTGCTAATAATCCAGTAGCACAATACAAAAAATTTTTTAATGAAAATAATGCAAAACTTTATCTTCAATATTGTAAAAAGAAAGATATATTCAAGAACAGATTTTTAGCTTGTCCAAATAAGATTGTAGCAGAAATATCGAGTTATTGTAGTGATTCAAATGCTGGAATTGGAATATCTTTTAAGGACAAAACTCTATCAGAAAAAGTTTTAGGAGACAAGAAATCTGCAGAATTAACTTCTGTGATTCGTGTTTTAGAATCTTGTGAAAACAGAATCGACATCTTAGAGATAAAAACAGATAGTTCATATTTTATAAACTCATATGAATTATATCTACCAAGATGGAAAAATAACAGTTGGAATCTAGAAAACAAGAACAAAGAATTAAAAAACAAGAATCTGTTCATAAGAATAGATGAATTGTTTGAATCAAGAGAAGGAAAGATAATACTAACATATACAGAAAATATTAGTGAAAAGACAAGATTGTTAGCTATAGAAGGAAGTAAAAAAGAATATATCGAACATATGGAAATAGATAATTATAAAACAGATGATATAATATCTGATGAAGATTTAATAAATTTATTTTTATTATTATAATAATAAACAAACTATCGAGGCTCACGTGTAAATAACATTTATCATGTTAACGAGATTGTTTGCATAAATAAACAAAAATTTAATTATTTTAAACTGAGCAAATCCTGTGTTATGCCGTTTTTAAGTGGCTGCAAGTCACTTGTATCGCATCGCGATGGCCTAAGGATCTGTGAACTAATCTCAATAATATATCTAATCTTAATCTTTAGAGTTTGGGTTTGCCGTTCTCTTTCGTGGAAGTGACAACTGTAACGACATTAGTTTTGCAGCTATCTCAGCCTCAAATGGCTGAGTGTCTAAGCCGTTCGGCGATTGAGAACAACAAATGAAACAGAATTTATATATGTAAAAAAGATAAAATATAATGTGAAATAAATATAAAATTATTTTTAAAAGTATATTATTCAATTATTAATTTTACTATTATAAGATTAATTAGCAAACGTTGTGATTATTGTCGAAAATGTCAAGCGAAGCGACCGATAGCGTTCGTCAATAATCATCTACGTTTCCACCGAAAAGAAAAAAACAAAATCGCCATGCGACACTTGTGCGTTTTATATAGTTGTAAATTACAACAAGGATAATAAATTATTGAGTGGGCAAAAAATGTTTTTCGTACGTTTGCTATGATGATTCGAGGTGAGATTGGAATCGAACCATATCAACGATATGGGTACCTCGTATCAAAATAAGAACAAACGAAAAACATAATATTTAATTTAATCAGTTTTATAAACCGATTAAATATTTTTGTTAGTAATCAAAAAAGATTAATAAAAGATTACTTTAATTAAATTAATAATCTCTGCGTTTACTACACGATTTGCTCGAGGCTGGGACCGTAGAGCATATCACGTAAGAACAAAGAGATCATAATACATTTATCCTCATTAGCGCATAGGAAATCGGGAGTTCGAGCGAAGAGCCTGCCTGGCTCTGGAAGCCAAAACTTAATTTAGTAATTTGATAATAATAGATAAACCAATAATAATAAATTCTATTTTGCCAAGACTAACTAATCCAAATTTAGATCTGACAAATTATGACTCATTTTTGTTTACTTCTATTCTTCTAAAACAAAAAAATTCTTAAAACTTAGAAAAAGATCGTATGATTTTTCAAGATCTAATCGAAATGAGATCTCTTATCTTTTAATATTTTTATTTGTAGAATATCAAGAATTTGTTTTGTTATCGTACAATTTTTTAATCTACCAATTACAATTCAAGATCTTTATTCAAGATGAAATATAAAAATCTGATTTTTTAAATTGCAAAATCTCTACGATTTGTTCGTAAAAATCTTTCTTACAACTACAAATTTCTACAAATTTTTTACAAATTTTTAACAAATCTTTACAAAATTTTTTACAAATTTTACAAATTTATAAAACAAAATGCGTTATATTTTCTATTTTGTTATTATATTTATTGTCCTTCTTGGTGAATTTATCATCAACAATTTTGATAAATTCGAAAAATATTTCTTGCAAATAATCATTTCAAGAAATTTATTTTATATTTTTATGATTTTATATTTAATATTCATAATATTCAATATTGTACATTGGATATATTTAATCAAAAACTATTCTCATACGTTAATATATTAATTTAAAATATCAAGATTTTTTAAGGTAAGATTTTTATCTTGCTTAGTGCTGAGATCTTGTGCACGCTGCTACTAGAACATGTTGGTTTGATTCTGAATTCTGATCATATAACAATGTCAGATAATCAGATGAGGATCAGATTAGTGTTTGAAGGATGTGGTGAATTTCATAGCATTGTAGTGAAAAGATCTTATGGTTCA